ACAAACGCTATCCTGGTGCCAGTGTGAAATATGTAAAAACTGCTGGTAAAGCAGTCAGAACGTTAAGTTCGCCTTCCACATGCAGTCTGGTACTTTATGACGTTGTATTGAAGGAGTTGATACAGCGTGTATATAATTGTCCGGTCATACATTGTCAGCTAGACCGTTTACGCGAAGGCTTGGATACTGTGAACGTAGTTGGCGAGGATGTGGCTGGTATGAATCATATATTTGTTTCAATACTTACATTTTCATTTACTTTCTTTTCCACTGGCAGGCCCTGAGTGTCATGCGAATATTATGCCCGCTCTAATTACAATCGAAACTTCGACGCACTTTTGCGTAATCTTTTATCCGCCTGCCATCGTAACAAGTCTCTACGATTGCATTACCTTTTCGCCGACAATATTGGGTAAATCTCACAACAAATCGCTCTTCATCATTTACCAAATCATACAGCTCTCGAAAGCCTTACAAACGTCTGGCCTCTTTTTGGGTGATATACGTCTACATGACATTATGGTGCGTGAAAATCTCTGGATACAAGTGCTTCCACGGCTTGAGTGCTCCATACTGTCACTTAATAATGTTGAAAATGCGGTACCATCACCTACCGAAACGGGACATGCCGCAGAAGGAGACAATTCCGTGGTAATAGAAGAAAACGAAAATGCCAGTTTTGTTTGCGATGTTTATGACGATGACGCTGACGAAGACACAGCGGATTGTTCAAGCAACACCAAATTTGATCTACAGTTCGCGTACGACTTGGAGCAATTTACGTTGCGCGAATACTGTGAGATGTGGTGCAATGGTCAACTTTCCAATTACGATTATCTAACGATATTAAATAATGCCTCTGGTCGTAGTCTCGACAACCCTGCATATCACCACATAATGCCGTGGGCAACGGCCTGAATTGGCGCGACTTGACCAAAAGCAAATATCGTCTCAATAAGGGTGATGTACACTTGGATTTGATGTTTTCGCACGCTACTCATCAGGGCTTAAATACGCTTAGTAATCCAATAGCAGCTATTGCAAGCACTCAGGCACCGCATCATGTGTCTGACTTTCTTTCGGAAATCACTTATTTTGTTTATATGGCGCGTCGCACGCCGCAACACGTCCTCTGCCAACATGTGCGTCCCATTTGGGTGCCTGCAGAATATCCTGCATCTATACAACGCCTGCAACAGTGGACACCAGATGAATGCATACCAGAATTTTACTCGGATCCCATGATTTTTAAGAGCATACATGAAGATTTACCCGATTTAGAGTTGCCGACATGGGCGTCGTGTCCAGAAGATCTCATCGCAAAGCATCGAGAAGCTCTAGACGCGGAATATGTAAGTGAACGGCTCCAGCATTGGATTGATCTCAATTTTGGGTGAGTTGTATCAATCGAAACATGCTACATGCTTGCTGCTGTAAAAGCGAAGAATGTGTGTCTCAGTTTGGTCGATCAGCACAAAGATCTCCGCCAACGTGGCATTGTGCAACTTTTCACCACTCCCCATCCTGCCAAACGTTTCCCATCCCCATGGTTCAATAAAACACCACCACGTCTCAGCCAGTTATACGCACCGCCGCGTTCTCCCCGTTCCGCCAGCTCCACGCTACGTCCACACGAATCTAGACGTCTTGCCAAAAGCACGGAGAATCTCAACGCTCTCGATACAGCCGTTCCAATTGCAACCGATACTTCTGCTATGTCCACTTCTTTACGCCGCACTGCAGGTTCATCCTCTTCGCCGCGTATGTCTTCGCGCGCAAACAACATTTCTAGCGATATGACTTCCAGTTCGAGTTTTTATCCTAGCACTAATTTTATTGACTTGCCAAAAGATTATAATCCTTGTTCGCTACTCCAGTCGCTCGAAACAATGGAGACTTTCTTTGCACGCACATTTCCAAAGCAAAAGCCAGCCACAAATACAGTGGAGAAAATTATAAACAGTGATATGTTGTTTGAGGCTCACTCCTCGGAGAATTCGTTTACAAATCGTCTCTTTCTAGAGGGTGCATCAAATGTTGTGCAGTCATCCGCAACACAAAGCAAACAGCAACTCAAAAGTCTACTTGCGCCAAGTCCAACTACCCTGAAAAAGCGCTCAATTAAACATCTGTTAATGGAGAAATGGGAGCATGAGCTTCATGTGCTGGGTTGCCTCATTGTGGAACTGTTTGCTATGCATCGCCTGCGCGCAATGCTTATGAACGGCGTCAACGCCAGCATCGAGGAACGACTGCAAGCCTGCCATACAGTGGCTAAAATGCATTGCCAAGATATACCAAAGTGTTTGCGTTACGTCGTCGCCCTGCTGTTGCCAATTATGAAATTATACGATGTGGAAAGCTTTGAACGTGGCATGATTTCGGTGCGCACACGTATAGCGGATGCAAATTGCGCAGGTGGTGGACAGGTGCGTTTCTCCATGAGCAGTTCATTCAAGTCGCGAAAGTCCGTTAAGCTCTATCATCACAGTTTTCTTTTACGCTTAATTGTACGCTTCGGATTGAAGTGTTTTCTACACAATTTTATTGCGCCACTTATTGAGGCTGTTGGTGGCTACAAGGAGCCTGAAGATGGCAATGGCTTCCATTATCATAGCTCAACAAATGGCGAGGGTGTTGGTAGTCGGAAAACAAGCCGGAATATAAATTATGCCTCTACAGAAGATGATATCTCTTTGACACTGATGTCGACGGAGGAGGCCGAACAAAGCGTGTGTTATGCTTTTTACCTTGATATTCGAGTGTTAAAGTAAAAGCACGCAAGAGACTTAGGTATTGCTCTTAACACTATTTATTAACGGAGAAAGTAGATAGATATTTACATATGGAAGTTAACTATTAACTATAAAATTTATAAGTATACAAGATCGTGCTCCTTACAATGCGGCCGTCTACGATGGTGATAATTCTCGGAATGTCAATGTAAAGAAATGCCATTGGTGGCATTGCGCGTTTAGGGTTGCCATTAGTGCATGATATGCTGCCAACATCCCCCTTCGTTTTTAGAGGTAACGTCTGGGAAGCCTGCGTTGCCTTGTAGAACGGCGTAGTACCGGAACAGGATCTGATTCGACAGTCGCTGGAGTAAAGTCTTGGCTATTTTCGGTATCACTCGTTTCATCTTCGCAAAATCGGTTTCGCAGTTGGTTTGCATGTGACCGCTGAAGTTCATTTCGCTTCCTGGATTTTACGAGAACGTTGTATACGACCCTGCCGACTTTTTCGATAACAGTGCCTGGGTACCACGACCATTTGTTGTTGTGAAATACCTTTGCAAACACTTGGTCCCCCGACTTAAAACTTCTTTGAGCTGCCCCATGTTTATTATTGAAGGCGCTCTCCATTACTGTATTTTTCTCATGAGATACAACGTGTGACTTTAGTAGGTCTAACGGAGTTGAGATCTTTCTTCCGATGAACAATTCGGATGGCGCATGACTGTCCGGTGCACTTGGATTTGGCGTGGCACGATACTGCGAAAGAAAAACAAGTAGGTTGTATCTGTCGTTCGGTGACTTTTCGGAAAACGCTTTTGCCAATGCTCTTTTAATGGTGTCCACAAAACGCTCTGCTTGGCCATTCGATTGGGGGTGATATGGTGGTGTGAAGATGTGTTGTATTCCCCTTTCTTTGCAGAATTGAGCAAATTGCGAGCTTGTGAACTGCGTACCGTTGTCCGAAACTAAAGTTCTCGGCTGTCCATACCTACTGATGAACTCGTGCAAATGATTGATGATTTCATTTGTTGAAATTGTCGTTGTTTGCACTACTTCTGGCCATTTTGAGTACGCATCTACCATAACTAAATAGTACTTATCTCGAATAGGACCCGCGATGTCAATGTGTACTCGCTCTAATGGACTCTTCGTGATTGGCCATGAGCTTAGTTTGGCTTTTGTCGGAGATTTTGCGTTTAACGCACAACTTTGACATTGTTTCACAAACGCAACTATATCCGCGTCGATCCTTGGCCAGTAAGCGTACGATCGCGCAATCGCTTTCATACGTTCGCTACCTTGATGTCCTCTATGTAGCTGCTTGAGGATCCGCTTTCGAAAAATCTCAGGAATTACCACTCGATCTGAATACATGACACAATTGTCAACGACTGACAATGAGTCCTTTCGGTTGAAAAATAGTTCTTCGTCCGCCGCAAGCTGCTTTGATGATTTTGGCCATCCTTCCTTAACGCGTTCGATGATTTTGCTAAGTGTGTTATCGTTTTTCGTGGCCTGTTTTATCATCGCAAGTGTAACTGGTAACGTTTTTATATTATCTTGAAGGGTAGTTTTTATTTCGTTTTCAACAAAAATTTTGGCTATGATGAATTCTTCATCTTGTTGTCTTTGTTGACTTATAAGCCGTGATAGAACATCAACATTTCCAAATTCTGTGGTCTTGACATACTGAATTTGAAAATCGTAGCTCATTAAAATTAATGCCCACCTTTGTAATCTGTTGGCGGTGTGCGTTGGGATGCCTTTCTTGGAACCAAAAATCGTAAGCAGTGGTTTATGGTCCGTTAATAGCGTGAATTTACGTCCGTATATCATTTTGTGAAATTTTGTGCATGCATATACGAGTGCTAACGCTTCTTTCTCTATTTGGCTATACCGCTTCTCTGTCGAAGTAAGTGCTCTTGAGATGTGATATACGACTTTTTTTGTTCCATCTGGCAGAGTATGAAAAATTTGTGCTCCTATACCAACAATGGATGCATCTGCTGCTACGGATATAGGAAGTGAAGGATTATAATGTGTCAACACAAGATCCGATTGCAATATTTGTTTGAAATCGTTAAATGACTTCTCACATTCCGACGTCCATTTCCAATTTTTATTTGCTTTCAATAACTCATCAAGTGGATATCGAATATTTCTCATACGGTTTATGAACTTGCCGTAGTAGTTTATCGCTCCCAAAAAGGATCTGAGTTCGCTTACATTTGTAGGTCTCGGCATGTGGTTGATTGCTTCCACTTAGGATGCATCTGGATGTATACCTTTTTCATCAATGACGTGTCCCAGGTATTTTATTGACGTTTTGAAAATTTCACATTTTGACCAGTTTATCGTGAGACTGTGCTCTTTGAACCTTTCCATTACGTTCATAACCATTTTGTAATTTTCTTGTATTGAAGGTGTAGCTATGATCACGTCATCCAGATATGTTATAACTCCCTCTAAATTGCTGAGGATAGTTTCCATAGCTTTTTGAAAAGCACCTGGTGCAGACGTTAGTCCTGGTGGTAACCGATTAAATGTAAAAAGACCTCTGTGCGTGTTTATCGTGAGAATTTTCTTGGATTCGTCATCGACTTCCAATTGAAGGTAAGCGTCAGATAAATCTATTTTGCTAAAATATTTGCAAAGCGACATTTGTGCGAATATATCATCTGCATGCGGAATTGGATACAGATTAGGTACCATGCAATCGTTTAAACCTGTCGAATAATCAGCACAAATTCGAATGC